TACACACAAACAAACTGGGCTTGATTTTGGTTGTTCTAAAGGTATGTAAAAAAAAATGTCACACTCATGATGACCTTTGTGGTCAATATGCAACCACATTGAAATGAATAGGAAAACAATTTGTTCATTTGTCAGAAATGCAATATGGTATTACTAAGTATATTGATGTATATAAAATCTGAAGTCAAGCCATGTCAGTTTGCTGGTGCTTTACTGGAAGCAGCGGTATGATGAAACGTACCACAAATCGTCATAGTTACATATCTAACGTTATGGGGAAAACTCATAACAACAGCTATCTGGAATAATATTATAACAGCTTATTATTATTATTTGGCTAAAGTTATTCCTGAACATTGCAAATAGTAGGCTACAATGTTATGGCTGCAAGTAGACGCAACACACACACACTAAATCCCTACAATCTGATATCCGCTAGAGCTGTCCAAGTTTAATCGAGCTTCACTCATATTTTTTGAAAGAATTAAATTTTCACACACATTTCACAAAAGTCAGCACTAGAAGCTACTCACCAAATCAGAAGAAACAGTGCAACCTCAGCGTCCAATTTAAAAACGTTCAATTCTTTGAGTTCTCTCCACCGTTTAAAAGCCTTCCCGATTAGTTTCTTTGACTAAAAACGACGGCATTCCCTCCTTTATGTTTTATATCATCAAGATTTTGCTTTAGTATAATTTTCGGGCCTGTTTCGGTATTCGGGACAACAGCTTAGATTTCGGGACTGTCACAAATTGTTCGGGACTTCTGGTCACCTAAACAAAAAGTAACTCTGAAAGTTTTGGAATACAGGAATACAGCAAGCTACCTTTATTTATGAAAAACTGTATGACATACTGTCGACTTCGGCATTCTCTGTCTTCTCTTTCCTTTTTTCTTTCCGTTTTTGATGCCCTGACTTTTGATGTGGCATGCCTACGTGTGACACTGCCTACGTGTGACACTGACTACGTTTACATGCAGCAAATTTTCGGGTTATAGTCGGGTTAAGGTCACTATTCGGGTTTCTGAAACATTAGGAATAACCCGTTTACATGCGTGAGCAGAGAGAGTTTCTCCACATGGAATTGATATAGCCCGATGTAAACGGCGACGCGCGGTTAGCGTCTAGACGTACGCACAAACTTAAGACGCAATATTCCTAAGACGCATTTCTGATTCTTCTTCCTGTATCCAAAGACAACAACAACAGTAGCACGCGGATAATGAATAGTTTGGGGCAGATAGCGATCGCCTTTGTTAGCGTTTTGATGCAGGTAACGTTACTGACCTCGCTCCAATGCTGTGCTGTGTCTCGCCTGGTCTCGCCATGTTTACTTCCGGTATACTGCACGCGGATTTTTGTATGCGCTGAGAAGTTTCTCTACTCAAAAGACCAAGATTCCTTGCGAATAGAACATGCGCAGAACACAAATCACTAAGGGGATATGCCGATACGCGTTTACATCATAGACATATGGTTTACATGACCAAAAATTCTGGTTAGAAAAGGGGTACCCAAGGTATATAGGCCTAATATCCCGGGTTTTTGTCGGTGTTTACATGGCCGTTTGCGACCAGGTTATTGCTAATATCCCGGTTTTGAACGGGTTATTGGCTGCATGTAAAGGTCTGCACTGCAAGTGCAATAAGCAAGACGCTGCGATCGTTGCTCGGAGAGAGCGGGTGGAATGAACCATTAGTGAGGGGGAGGGCTGTGAATCAGTAAATACAGTATTTGTTTTTTTAAATATTAAATATATGTTAAAAACGGCCAAAAATACAAATTTAGTGCATGAGGGGCCCTAGGACATTTAATGTATGTATTCAAAAAAAAAAAGAAAAGAAAAAGGGGGTCTACGTAGATTAAATCAGCCCAGAAGAGCAGTCTCTTTATAATAAATTATTAATAATAAATTATAATAATAATTATTATTATTATGTTAAGCTTATCAAGCAACGAGAATACTTTTTGTGCCCAAAAACAAACAAAATTAACGACTTTATTTCAGCTATTCATTTCCTTCTCTTTGGGCCACTAGTCAGGTAGTGTGATATAGGGCTACGTCACATGAAGGCTCACTATAGAGCATCACAGTCCCGCCCACAGCCGGTGCCAGGAGTAAGAATTCAATACAATTTCTCCATTGACATTTGAGATATAAGCCATAAAAACGTAACCATACATGGTAGACTTAAAACCAGCTACAACTGTACTAAGTGTACACACACGGCTGTACACAATCCTGAACAATCCCACAATCAAACAGTAATGCATCTGATTGGTGGAAGTCGTTTAAATGTCTGGGTAAACCCCGCAGAAGTCTGTGAAGACTGAAGATCGTGTAATGACGTAGGGCTAGTTCATTGGTTGCACGTCAGAGGCACCATTGGATGTGCAGTTGCTGCAGCACAGCCTATGAGCGAGCTAGATGCTCAATGTTTAGCATGTGCAGCTGCAAATACATTTTACATATAAGCTTCAGTAATTTGTGGAAAAGGAGTTTCTGCACATTGCACATTCACTATACAATCCACTGGGGGAAAAAGTTCACGTGGCCGTCGTCAGATTTGGGCGTCACTCAAAAGGATCTTTCATGGTGGCTTCAGTGAAGCGCGGTGGTTTATGGGAGGAGTAGTTCCTTTGCTCAGAAATGATAATATGTACACAGTCTTGTACCCTTGACTTTTTTGGGGATTTTCTCTTAGTTTTTTCACTCGAAATGATTGTATGTTGGCCTGATTAAATGTTGTATGCTTACGAGTTCAGCCGCAGCTGGTTAACCTCAGACATGCGCTAAAACTCTAAGGATTTTCCAAAACATCAATGGGAGAATAAATGGGAAATTTATTTCCGGCACCACAGCTCTCTCGGGCTGTGGGCAGGACTGTGATGCTCTATTGGCCGACGCTGGTCGTGTGTGATGCGTGTGACGCAGGCACGTGCAGAGGGGGGGGCGTTGGGTGCTCGAGCACCTGCCCTTTTGCCACTTGGTGCCCAAAGTGCCCTTTTGTCAAGACAAAATTTCCTCTCCTTTTTTTTGTATTTAAAGGCACTTTTGTGGATGCCTGCCCCATCTAACTAGTAGTAAAATGAATGAATAATAATTTAGCTGTAAATAAAATGACCCACATGATGACCTTTCACCTGATTCCTCACGCTGCACGCGCATTTTTTAATTTCGCGCGGCTACGCGCAATCAATCGCGCATTCCCAGAGGATAGCTTCAACTCTTGCGGCTGCTGGTAAGTTGTGTTCTATTCTCAGCGAAGTGATTTTGATGTTTGTTTACTTATTATTATTATTTTACTAGAACGACGTGAAGAGAGCATGCAGAGAAATCTTGTTTGTATTGCTGTGTGTAGGCTGTAGAAGTAACGTTAGCTTGCTGTTTGAGGGAGAAAACTTTCACGGGCGTGAAGGGGTGTTATTTGATTAAAAACTATTATTTGTACTTTAAACTATTAATATTATTACAGTATTTATTTAAAAAATTATTTTCACATAAAAAATATTATCACAACTCTGGTAAGTTATCACATAGGCTTACCAGTTAGTATCTTATGATTTGTGTGCAGAAGGCTCTGTGAACATCTGCCCTAGTAACGTTACTATTATATACTATTATTGTATTATTATACTATAGCAGCCTGGGTAGAATCTGTAGCTTTAGCAGGTCAGTGGACTAGTGAGCCAGTTCCAAACACTGTCAGCAATCTTTACATCTTGTCATGGTCACATAAAAATGGTTTAATCAGCTAATAACCTATATTTCTGTTTATTTTTAATGTCTACAGTCTCAGATCAACTCCAGCAGTATCAGCAGCAGCAGCAGTAACAACATCAACAGCAAAGGCAGCAAACTCACTTAATGACTTGAGTAAGAATTTACCAGAACAGGCATCACATTAATGTTAAAAATCTTGTAAAGTATTAATTGCTGTTTCTGTTTGCTTTGTTTTTATTTTCATTGTATAAAATGTAACTCTTGTATTTTTGTAAATCACTTTTTGCCATGAAAATAGCCACAGATGCTGATATGCCATTAAATAAAACTATACTCTACTGCACGAAACTTGGGCCAGGTTGATTTTGTCCTATACAGTTCACTATAACAGCTGTTCTTTATTATTCTGTATAACAGAGAAGAAAAAGCCATCAGGTTGGGGCAACTTAAGATGCTTCAGTTTCTAATCCCAGAGTTATATATAAATATATAAATTATTTTTTTTAAATTTTAAACTTTAAAATTGTCTTTTCTGTTCTGTTTCTTTTTCAAAACTGCATCAATGCATTTGCTGCTGTATCGATGCAGAATCATCTGTATTGATATATTACTGTATTGATATTTTGAGCACAGCCCTATAAAGCCTTGTTTCCATGTGCCCCATTTTATACTTTGAGCACCTGCCCCTCCAGAGGTCTCTGCACGGCCCTGGTGTGACGTACAACAACAACAACAGAAGCTTACACTATTACTAGTGAAATGACTCAAGCCCCACAGAGAAGGAAATGAATAGTTAAAATAAAGTTGTTATTTTTGTTTGTTTTTTTGTTTTCAAGGCTAGTAAGTTTCAATCCCTCAAGAAGCCTATGGAGTGATCCATCAGATTTCATCATTGGAACAACATGAGGGTGAGTAGAATTTTCATTTTTGGGTGAACTATCCCTTTAAAGTTTAAGTGAAATTGTGACCATTATATTACTCTTGTGGTGAATTACGTCAAATCACTAAAGAAATATTTTTCTCATAATAAAACCCATCTGTTTCCCTACCTTCATGTGAGTCCGGGTACTCACACTTTGACCTAGAATCGAGCAGTGCATGGTCACACCAAGATTTTTGTTATTCATTTATCTAAATGCACTATTATTTTGAGTGGTCAATGTGTATCGTGGGCAAAGTTAATCGAGAACACGCCACTGACTTCACAGAACTAATCGTATCTGACAGTTTGCGTCATTGAGTGGGTGGAGTCGGTCTACGAATGGCTGACGTTTCATGGGGTGAACTCGGGTGAACTAAAGGACAATCGTGTAAGTTACATATTCGTGTTTAGTCGACGCTCAGTTATATGAATAGAACGTACGCTTACATATGGATATAATCTTAAATAACATTTGTTTAATGTAAGGAAAAATAAGTTAAACGGGTTTTTTTTTTCTGCTACTGTTGTTTTCGTGTCCATGCTGACATCCCCGTGCTTGCTTTGTTATTCCTATGAGTGTTTTTTTATTATTATTATTCCGTCATTTTATAGTGGTGTTGACTGTTTTGTCACGGTCTACTGAACACAGTCTAAATTTGCCGAGGCACGCGCAACATGTCACTAGCTAATCAAGCGTGTGTAAAGCAACGACACGTTAGATGAAGTTTCGATGCGTGATTCATCGGCCACGGAGGCAGAGATCCAGCTTCAACATGGAAAACGTTTTCCTTGAGCAAGGCTGAAGACGTCACCTAATCTTCTTCTTCTTCTTTTTTTTTTATTTTTATTTTTTTTTACCCTGAATATAGAAGTCTGGTGTTGCCTAGTTTGGGATTAGCTGGATCATTCGTAAACTCACAAGGGACTGCAGTTCATTTTTGAGTGATGGTTGTCAATACGATCCACTGGTTCAGAAAGGGCTTAAGGCTCCATGATAACCCATCTCTGCTGGACTCTGTAAGAGGAGCTGATACTCTGAGATGTGTTTACATACTGGACCCCTGGTTTGCAGGATCGTCCAACGTGGGAATCAACAGATGGAGGTGAGTTTCCTTTGGGTCAGACAGAGGACAGAGGGGACCAGACATCAGCACATGATAAGCCAAGTACCTATGTTTATACTAGTAAGTAATCAAATAATAACTAGTATATTTTCACTTTCCTTCATTAGTAATTTAAATGACAAGCATCTGTTAAATTAGTCTTGACTCTAGTCCTTTCTGGTACTGGCACCATCCCTGAAGAGACAAACAAGTCCAATGGAAAATTGCTATTACATTCTATTGCTTATTTGAATATATTTTTACAAGGCATGGATACTAGTACGCAGTACATGTAATATTATTATCACAGAATTTAGTGGCATGTTAATATGTAATTATAGTTATATAATTATATTAATACTATACTCAATCACTAGCACCTCTCCCTTATTCCTTATATATATATATATATATATATATATATATATATCTCCCTTATTCCTTATTATACCCTCATAGCAGAGTTCTGATGTAATGTACAACTCAGCCAACTCTCCTCTCCACCGGTGCAGGACGTGAGGAAGTAGGTCAGTGTGTCAGTATACTATTACCTCATTTCCCTGTCAGCACTGGCCTATTGGTCCTTCTCCTTCTAACAGCATCTCGCCTACATTATGCCACCGCTCACCTTTGAAGTTTGCTAAACTATGATAAAAATTATAACCTATGCAAAGGCTGGTTACATGTATAGGTTTGTTGTCACACAGGCCAGTTTGTGTTTGCATATGCAGATAAATTGAAATGGCCTTGACCTGGAGGCCGGGACGTGCTGTTGGGGATCAGACGTCTCGAGGAAGGGTTGCAGACAGGCTCAACTAGATGCTACTAATATACAGTCCCACAAGAGGGAACTCTATTCTGCTGAACACACAACTCTCGCTCAGACAGGATTATACGCTTATTACTCCTTTATTACATTATATATTTAGTGCAGCCAAAAAGCTTGCATACTATTTTAAAATATGTCCAATGTTCATTTCATGATTGATTCAATCCAGGTATAAGTGGTTTTCACTGGGTGATTCAACAAAATGGTGACTGTTAAAGTAATCCGAAACAACAACAAAAAACAGCCTTGGAAAACTTTATAAAAGAGGTAGACTCATTTAAGAGGCTCAAAAGTATTGTAAATGATTTAAGTCTTAAAACTCCATGGGCATTTTTATAAAAACTTCTAAATAAAAACTTTATATGAAAAACTTTATATAGCTTATAATTTATAATAAAAACTTTTATAAAAAAAAAAAATCTAAAATATCCCCTTTCAGCAAATCGCATATGACTTCAAATTCATGTCATGCAAATTAAGTGGTTAAAAAGAGTGGGATCCCTGAAGAACATTCAACTTTTTAAAACTGGAATCCTGTAATGTACTCATTATTTTAGTAATACTTTCCTTACAGAACCTAGCAACTCCCATTGATTAAGTTTAGGTCAATGAGGGGCCTTGGAATTAAAAAAGTTTGAGAAACACTAGTGTTGCAAACTACTAAATAAGCTAAATTTATTTCTGCTAAATTGTAAGAAATATTAGGCATTCTGAACACAGCCCATGTAATACAGATTGGAACTTGTGTGCTTTTCATACTGATAGTTCGTTAGTGCCCTCTGCTGGACTCTCATGTCAGAAAAAAATGAATAACTATGTCTATATGTCTAAGTACTGTTTTATTTGCTCATCACTGACTGTTGATTAATTATTCTTTGTGTTACAGGTTTTTGCTGCAGTGTCTTGAGGACTTGGACGCCAGCCTTCGCAAACTTAACTCTCGCCTCTTTGTCATCAGGGGACAACCCACGGATGTCTTTCCAAGACTATTTAAGGTCAACGAACAGACCACTTGAGAATAGCCAACCGTTTTGTGTTAATGCTGTGTGTTAATGCTGTGCCAACTTATTTGACTCGCCTCTCCCTCTCTTTTTTTTCTGCCTAGGAGTGGAAAATCAGCCGGCTGTCATATGAGTACGACTCCGAGCCCTTCGGGAAGGATCGTGATGCAGCCATTAAGAAGCTGGCCAGTGAGGCAGGGGTGGAAGTCTTCGTCAGGATCTCCCACACACTCTATGATCTGGACAAGTGAGTGTATCTAGTCATTGCCATATGCCCATACGACTCCCACGTATTTGCCAGCAGTCCTGTGGGAAGCTACCCATCATGTCTGGTATTTAACTATTAATTGAGAATGTCATGTAGACATATATTGAGAGATCACAATATCAATATTAGTCTGTCATTTGAATGACAGATTAATTAATGACAGATTTGTTATATTAATCTGTCATTTGAATGTCATTTGTCATTTGTCATTTGAATTGGCTTCAGCCTTTCCGAACTCTATGAAATATTATTTTATGTGTGTTTAAGGAATTGGAAGCAAGCAGAATACAGGTGTTTCTAAAACACTCTCTGCGTGATCACTCATGTGGTTAAAAACTGAGCTCAGAATCAATTCTGAAATTCTCTAAAATCGATCCAGAATCGTCGAATCGTGATACATTGAATTTTTTTCTCCCACCCCTAATATTAAATAATCTATTACATTTTGCCTTTGTTGTAAGTTTTCATATTTTCAATTTCTGAATTTCTGTTTACATTAATAATTGATATTGCGGTTTACCTGAAAGAAATTGTGGTAAATAAATTACACACTTCGCCATTAATTTTGTATCTTTAAGTTGATCGTTTGTTATAATAACCGTAACTTTTTTATTAAACAGTGTTTACTCAATGTTTTAATGTAATTTTACATTTATGTTAATATATATTATAATGTTACCTGCTTGTTCTTTTTATTTGCTTAGAATTTTGATATCTTGACGACACTAAAATCTAATAATATTGCTTTTACAGTAGATCCTATCACTGACTCATGTATGTTCCATTCCTGTCTCTAGGATTATCGAGTTAAATGGAGGACAGTCTCCTCTTACCTATAAACAATTTCAGACACTCATCAGCAGAATGGATCCTGTGGAAATTTCAGCCGAGACTATCACGGCTGAAGTCATGGGCAAATGCGTAACACTCATCAGCGAAGACCATGATTACAAGTTTTGCGTACCCTCACTGGAGGAGCTCGGTGAGACACCTGTGTTCCTTAACTTTGGATATGTGTGCATGTGTCTATTGTAGATGAGATTTTGAATCATTGTATGTGGCTTCAGGTTTTGAAACAGAGGGGCTGTCAACAGCTGTTTGGCCTGGTGGAGAGACTGAAGCTCTGACTCGATTAGAGAGACACCTGGAGAGGAAGGTAAGCATCTCCTCTGTTACATTGTCTTACAGTCATAAATACAGACAAAATATCCATATTTATAACTTAAATGAACTATAATCGCTGGTTTCCGGTAACAGCCATGCGCCATGCGTGAGTCTAGTTCCTGTGGAAGAATGAACTCTGAGCCGACGTATGATATATTTACGAACACGGAATCACTTTATTTAGCACTCATGTAAACTACGTTTGGAATTGGAAATGATTGGAATGATTTGAAACAATTGAAACAAAAAGTGTCTATGTAAACGTAACTATTGATAATAATAAGAAATGTTTCTTAAGCTTCAAATCAGCATATTAGACAGATTTTTGAAGGATCGTGTGACACTGAAGACTGGAGTAATGATGCTGAAAATTCAGCTTTGCCGTGACAGGAATAGATGATAAAATATATTAAATCGGTTTTACTTAACGTGCACAATATTACAGGATTTTCTGTAGCATTAGAGATACTCTAGCATTTTTTTTATTTATTTTTTGCAGGCTTGGGTGGCTAATTTCGAGCGTCCCAGAATGAATTCTAATTCCTTGCTGGCCAGCCCCACAGGCCTGAGCCCTTACCTCCGGTTTGGCTGCCTAATAGTGCCTATCCTGCAGACTTTTCTATTTCAAACTCACAGACCTCTAGAGAAAGGTAAAGAGTACAACACTGTCTTGCTCTGACATTTAAGGCACTATTGATCATTGTCATAATTGATTGTAAGATCGTAAGTGGCTGACAAGTTATTCTCATACCTTTTTCCGCTGGCTTTTCGATCACAGGTCAAGAAGAACAGCGTCCCACCACTGTCCCTTTACGGTCAGCTGCTCTGGCGTGAGTTCTTCTACACGGCTGCCACTAACAACCCACACTTCGACAAAATGGAGTTTAATCCCATCTGCGTGCAGATCCCGTGGGACAGGAATCCCGAAGCCTTGGCGAAGTGGGCTGAGGGCCGGACTGGTTTCCCATGGATTGATGCCATAATGACCCAGTTGAGGCAGGAGGGGTGGATCCACCATCTGGCCAGGCACGCTGTTGCTTGCTTCCTCACGCGTGGAGACCTGTGGATCAGCTGGGAAGAGGGCATGAAGGTACTGCCATTAGTAGCTCTATTTCCATCTAAAGTTGCAAATTAAAATTGTGTGCAAAACTGGAATATTGTATAAAAAAAATAGCATTTTATGTGAAATCCTAAAATTTGCATAAAATAGGTGGATGGAAACATAGTGCTCTGGATTTCATTAAAATATCTGCTGTTGCTTTCGGCAATAGAATCTTAATTGATATTGTGTTTGTTTTCAAAGGTGTTTGAAGAGTTGTTGCTGGATGCTGACTGGAGCGTCAACGCAGGAAGCTGGATGTGGCTTTCATGCAGCTCATTCTTCCAGCAGTTCTTTCACTGTTACTGTCCGGTGAGCTTCGGTCGACGTACCGACCCTAATGGAGACTATATAAGGTCCCACTCAGTCTTAACCCTTGTTTACATACTAAAAAAAAAAAACAAGTTTGGTTAAAGGTGTTTTTTTATTATTATCATTACAGGCGGTATTTGCCCATATTGAGGGGCTTCCCGGCCAAATTCATCTATGAACCTTGGAATGCCCCAGAAAGTGTTCAGAAGATCGCTAAGTGCATAATTGGAGTGCACTACCCCAAACCCATGGTTAATCACGCTGAGGCCAGCAGGATAAACATTGAGCGAATGAAGCAGATTTACCAGCAGCTGTCCTGCTACCGGGGCCTTGGTAAGAAAACTCTTAAAAATCTAGTTTTAACTTTTAGTTTTACTTGAGAGTCCTTTTGTTGAGTGATACTGTATGTCAAATGAAATGCCACTGTTTAGCTGTGAGATCTTGGATTTAATGGATCTTCTCGTAATGCTTGTCAGGCCTCCTTGCAACTGTTCCATTCAGCACAGCCAACAATGGAGATGGTAATGGAGCAGGTCCTTCCTCAGCAGACATCCCACAGGAAAGCACTCGCATTACAGGTAATAATTTATTTTGACTTTTGTAGTTGGACTCAAGTGGACTCATTCCCGTTTTTTAGTTGTGATTGTGTCTTAGTCCACACAATCCATTCACACAGGAAACCATGCTAGTAATGATATTAAATAATACAAATTGTTATTATTATTAAGACAAATGTTACTGTTGTATATTACAATTGTTCTTTGAAAAATGAATATTTGATTATTATTATAATTTTGACAGATACATTACTAGTATTCAAACCTTTGAGCATTAAATGTTTGAATTCCTCTTATCTTGTATTTTGGTGGAATAGTTTGACAGAATTCTTCTGAAGTCTTGTAAACATCTGTCCCGAACAAAATTGTAATTTATAGACCTTATATAGCCCCGCCCCTTTTCAGCACTGCGCTCATTGTCTTTTGACTTTCGGTCTGTATTTTCACAGCGATCTTGCATAGGTATGAATGAACTGCTCGTAAAAAAAAAATCCCGGTCGATATTTGTTAAGACATCTGCTTTACAATGCTTATGATAAACATTACAATGCTCATGATAACTTAACTTAAGTAAGTAAATCCACTTCACCAGCTAATTACTCCTCGACAGCGATGCCATAGAAATATACAGAGCGACCGCAAAAATGGAAGTTCAAAGACAATATTCTAAAGATGACGGCGCCCACGTTTCTCTGGTGCATAAGGTCTATACAAATGTGTGAAGAACCCCAGGGGTTCACAAACCCGTTTTTGTAAAACCCTTTTGTAAAATTGTCCACTTTTATTCATAATGTGTATTATTGGCAGTTTGGATAATTTCAGTTGTTTGTGTTGAAATATTTTGCTTTTATTTAACAGTGCACCCATCAAGAGCAAGTTCTCAACCAGACTTCCAACCTTTTAGAGTATCTTGTGATCAACATCCTGTCAACAGTGTGCAGCCACAGCCAGGTGTGTATTGACACAGATGCTTGGATTTTGAAATAAATAAATGCTAATAAAGTGTGAACCAGTTCGTAGGCTACTTGAATAGCATGTTTTTCTTTCTAAACCAGGTCCATTAGTTGGTGATATAGTTCACAAACAGTTAGAAAGAGGTGAGTTCTGTCCAAACCATCTCAGAGGACTCGTAACAGATTTTCATATCAAGCTGTTTTGAACCACAATGCAGTTTTGTCTTACCGTGGCATAAAATGTATGACTCCATATACTGTGTTCTCAATGACAGACTTGTTTAAACACACAACTTCCATTGAAAAAAAGGGCTTAGCATGTTTTTAAAGGATTATGTTGATGAAAGCAAAGCCTTTTCAAAATCAATTCTATTCATCTTTGGACAGTTACACTACTGTTCAAAATTTTGGGGGCAGTACGATTAAAAAAAAAAATGTTTTTGTAGAAATCTAATGCTTACCAATGCAAAACATTAAAACATTAATGTAGTGAAATAATATATTTTTATAATTTCAAATATCTTTTTTCTATTTTTAATATATTTTCAAATGTAGCGTATTTCTGTTACGGATCTATGAGGGAGGACTCAAGCGCAGAAGGGGTCTCATTCATGAAACATTCGTAAATATACGAGTAAATATGAGAATGATTTGCACGTAAAGAGACCTTCCCGAAAACTCTTCTCCTGATTCACAAATACTTCGCAAACGATGTGATAGTGAAATGTGTGTGTTGTGTTAATGAATTCCAACCAGTCGTAAATGGGATGCGCGTGCACGTTCATTTTCAATTACCATAAATCCCGCCCATTATATCTGACTGACATCTATATATAGGCATATAATAACTAATAATATGAATGCGAATGAAAAAGAAAGAATTCTCGGATACAGAAATTGAAGTTTTATTATCAGAAGTTCATTCAAAAGCCACATTTTATTTTCAAGCGTTCATAATGGCGTATCAGGTCCTATAAAAAAGGACGCTTGGCAGCATATTACAGATAATGGAGTTTCTTCTGTTAATCGAACAATCCCAGAAGTGAGAAGCAGGGTTCCCACTAGGGTTGGGTATCGTTTGAATTTGAACGATTCTGATTCCGATTCCGATTCCTCGTTTCGATTCCGGTTCCCAACGATTCTCGATTACGATTCTTTTAAGAGGCAGGGTCAAAAAAGTTTAGCTAACCTTGCTAACCAACGGTTTTTCTGAAGGAAATACTCCTTCTGTCACAAATACTCCTTTTGTCACAAATTTTGCATTTTGCCGAGATTTCGTTATTTCTAGAAAAGTGAAGCCACACTTTGGACCGCCGACGTAAGCTACTCATATTCGACTCGCGTGGTTATGCCAACACTTCCGGTAGACGCTTCTTCGTTGGTGTTGTTCAGCAGTTTCTTCTTCCGCTCGGCGGACTGTGAATATTGAAACTAGGAATCGAAATTTTAACTTTTGAACGATTCCGGGAAAAATTAAAAGTTAGTCCCGATTCCAATCGATACTCGATTCTCGATACCCAACCCTAGTTCCCACGGGTCCTTGAAATCCTTGAAAGTTTGTGAATCTTAAAAAATAAAATCAAGGCCCTGGAAAGTCTTAGAAAATAGACAGATAAATGGCCTTAAATGTACTTGAATTTATTTTGTGCAAAACATTTTCTGGAAAAAAAATCCATATTATTCCCTCCAGTCCGTTAATGTGTTATTTGGCCAACACTTCGTGGCGTATGCATACTAGCTTTCTTCATTTACGTTAGTAAATGCACATAATTTACGCGTTACGTTGTGTTTCCTGCTGAGGTACTTTGTGTTGTACGTTGCCATGACGTTCACACGCGCCAACGTTTGTTACTGGATAGAACACATTAACCCACATTAAGTTCTTGAATTTGAGAGTGTTGGACCTGGAAAGTCCTTGAAAGGTCCTTGAATTTGAAGCTAACCAAGGTGTGGGAACCCTGGAGAAGAAAATGGTTTGACATTAAGCTTGACAGCAAAAAACGAATTAGTTCACTTCGGAAAAATCGTATTCAAACTGGAGAAGGACCAGTATACAGTAGCTACTCATAACTTAGAATTGTATTATAATTCTATTTCATACGACTTTAATCGGCATTCTGTGATCAATTCGCACTACGGTAGCATTTTTCGACAAGGCAGCAAAAATCGACAGAACACCGCCATCGATCACCAGATCTGCTATTACTGGCTCTCATACTAAAAGTAAAAAGAAAAACCTTATGTAATTACTATATAAATTGTTTTTTTTTTTTCAAAATGCTGTGTAAATATGTACCCGATTAATGTGAATTAAATGCAGCCTTATTAATGAGCAAAACGCTCGGATGTTAAGCTCACCATTTACGCGTGGCTGGGAGCAGGTGTAGATTTCTTGCGTACCAACTAACATTTGGAAAATACGAACATTTTAATGAATCCGAAAATTTACGCCAGAACCAATTTACACACGATTTACACACAAATTCGTTCTGCTCGTGTTTCATGAATGAGATCCCAATGAGTGTTAACAGGTTTTATTGAAAGTTGTGGGTGAAATGGTTAAATAGTGGATGAGGAGTCAAAACAGTAGGCAGGGAACAAAGCACAATGACAGGCAAGCTAAGAGGGTGGCAGTTGAGACCAGCCCAAGGTGAACACACTGGTGTTCTGATAAGCAGCACAAGGCCAATGGATGCAGCAAGAGCCAGACAGGATAAAACGACACACATAGATGGACTCACCGGGCACAATCTGTCGCTGCTCGGTAGAGAGGAAGTAGCCAGCTTGCAGGGATTGAACACAACAAACACTAGACAAGGTATCCAGGCACTACTCACAACTGTAACCATGCATGAGCAATAAGTAACAGGTAGCACAACACACTAAATGAAAATGAACTGGCATATAAAGGGAGCTGAGAGCAAGAGGAACAGGTGAACACACTCAGGCTAAAGAGGACTCGGTTAGACAAGAGGGCGTGGTTCATGGAAACAAGGAAGCAGCAACAGAGGAGCACAAGGCCATCACAAATAAAGACAGAGCTTAAGCACAACACTAAAATAGAGACACGAAACAAACACAACACAGAAAAAGCTGACAATTCCTGTGATTGTTAAATCCGAATTTACTCCAGTCAGTGTCGCATGATCCATCAGAAATCATTCTAATATGCTGATTTGCTGCTCAATAAATATTTCTACTTTTCTTCTCATCGATCGCTACATAATATAGTGAAAACCATGATGCTTTTTTCAGGATCCTTTGATAAATATAAAGTTGAAAAGAACAGTATTTATTAAAAATCTAAATCTTTGTGTCCAAATAAAGTCTTTACTTTTACTTGTCATCAAATTAATGCACCTTCCTGAATAAAAGTATTACTTTCTTCTTACTGACCCCAAACTTTTGACATAAAAATGGCATACAAAATATATAACCTCGTATGATGTTTTTTTTGTGTCTGTGTTTGTGTGTGTGTTCAGAAAGTGGGACGAGTACTTTGAAGCGACATAGTGAAGAACGAGCATCAGAACATGCATTGAAGTTTCAGAGGCAATATAGTTACTAGCCACCACGGAAGCAAGGACATGCACCTCTTGTCAGTCTATGGGACCTGTGGCATGATGGACAGCGTCTCCGCATGGCCGTTATCGACTACTCCATGCTATAGCTTTGCCCTTTATGCTTTGGCATGGTGTCTTTCTGCTTGTAAAGCTTGAGTGTGCATTGAGGTCAAGCGTGGAGATACGTTTTTGTCTAGCTGAATGTTGATGAATTGTGGAGGAAAATATTTTGTAGTCTTTACCCAATCCTACTGTCATTCATCTGTTTCTCTTTCCAAGTGTGTATGTTGCATACCATTTGATGTCCCTTTGTGCAATGTTATCTGATTGTTTTGGCAATAACTGTTTTAAACAATTCTATATATCCTCCAATTGAGAACGTTTATGCTCTTCACCAAGTCAAAGAATTTGATTGATCTAAATGTTCAATTCTAATTTATAAAAAGGCTAATTTATAAATATACACATTGACAAAACTGTAAAGTCCAAAAATCTGTATATTTTTTCAGTAACTATATCAAGGAGGCCTTTTGCTCTTAAGCACAAGTGGATTTGTTTCAAGACGATTACTGGGAAACCAGGCCTATTATGTATATAAACATATACTGTAAGTTCAGTCTGCAAAACATTGTATATAACTTTTTCTTGCTTATTTACAGACTCGCTGTTATATTTTTTATATGATATTTATTTTGGATTTGTGTAATAATGTCTTTGTAAATCACCATTAAAACATGATAGACTTTTAAGTAAATTGCAATTATTATGAGATGATTGGGAATTAATAGATAATTTTAAGCATGTTCATCTGTATTCGCGTTTAAATATTGTTGAAAGATTTGAATAACATTCTTAACATTCATTATCAGTGTTGGCTAGTTATGGACCACACGTAATCTATTTTACATGATCAGATTACTTCCCTAGATTACGCCCTATATTACTACATTTTACAATATAAAATAAATCTCTAGTGCCCACCAAGGCTGTATATTTGAAAGAAAAATACATAATATTTAGAAATATTACTAGGATTTTAAATAGTTTATCTGGATTTTAAAATAATTTATTCCTGTTGGCAAAGCTGAATTGTCATCATCATTACTCCAGTCTTCAGTGTTGTGATGCTGTGTTTGTGTTGTTGATAAAGGTGAACAACCTAATATGTTCCTTTTTAGAAAAAAAGAAAGAATTTTAATACAAATCATCAAGTAGCCTATCAATAAGATTTTTTTTTTTTTTTTTTTTTTTTTTTTGTGGTTATATCTGTAAACACCATAATTAAATCCAGCCACTCCCATTAGATGTCACATGTTGAACCAAACAGATATTTAAAAGCCCATTAATCTAGCTGGGTGGGGTTTGATATCGAGAATGATGCAAATACCTCACCCAAAGTCGAAGTCCAGTGGACGACAGTAGTTGGTAACAGAAAGAAACCAGATAAGCTGCTCTTAGTGAAAGTCGTTAATGATGACGATGAACATCGAAGGGGAGGAGATGCGCAAACCAATCCGGCTCATCGCGGCTGCCTGCAGGGACATGGGCATAGGAAAGAACGGACAGCTTCCCTGGAGTCTTCCGTAAGAGATACCCAAATCATCAGTAATTTTATCAAGTTGGAAAACTTGTATTTTGTAAAATATATTAGACATGACTGAATAAACAGATGAATTCATAAACGACGCGACGTCTGACGAATATTTAACCAAACATTCGACGTAGCTTGCTTACTTCGCAGTCTCTTTACTTATTAGCATTAGAGGCACAAACATGTTAGACTATGTATGTAGTGAAACAAATTAGATATATTATTAGCTTATATAAATTGTTTTAGAACACAAAACGAGACTGAAAACCTGTTCATTTTAAAAAATTCTATCCTATTAGTGGAATATGCCATTGAAATTTAGAAACTCTAACTGATTGTCATTGTCAGCAGGTTTTTGAATTAGAGGGAAACTTTGAGCCCCCCAACGCCCGCCCATTCCAGATAAGAGAACTTCATGCAGACAGCTAGCATTGTAACCAATTGGTATTTTTGTAATCTTTCTGGTATAGAAAGTATGTTGGTATAAGCCTGTTCAGGCATAAATATTAAATAAAATCAACAAATACAGGATAACCTTGGCTCAACTCTGATTTAGACACAGAGCCCTTCTTCTTTGAAAGCTATAAACACATCAAAGATATTTGTCATGCTGCTCAAATTGCATTTTGCACATTATGCAGTTAACAGAGTTGTATTAATATATTTATCCAAATGGCACACAATATACGTATCTAATGTGCTCATGTGGTTTACAGAAAAGAATTTCAGTTCTTTCTGGATACAATTACAGCTGTATCCACACCTGGTAAGGTTAATTTGATGTTTGGTTTAATTTATATTAATTGGCAATGTGATCTTAATTCTTATAAATAAATAAATTAATAAATAATGAAAGAATTTTATTTTGGTGAACCTCAGGGAAGAAGAACCTAGTTGTCTGGGGCAGAGTCTCCTGGTTCTCCTGTCCTGAGACAGTCTTCCCTTTGGCCAATTGCTTCAATTTGGTATTGAGCAGGAAGCTGAAGTAAGCATATTCATTTATAAACAATTTTATGCATACACTTCTGTTTAAAAGTTTGGGGTCAGTAAGATCACAGGAACAATTACATTTTGAAATATTGTAATTTAGTTATTTTAAAATGTAATAATATTTCACAATATTACAGTTTTTACTGTATTTTTGATCGATTAAATGCAGCCTTCGTACGTTTTTTCTTCTTGAAATAAAAAATGCACGGACCCCAAACCTTTGAAAAGTACTGTATATTATGATTTCTGTGTTTATTTACTGTATTATTTTGCATCACTTCAGTGCAAATCCTCCACGTGCCCACTATCTGTGTAAGGATTTTGAGTCAGTAATTCGCCTGGTTTCTGAGCCTCCTTTATGCCACATTGTGGAGACCATCTGGGTTTTAGGGGGCCCAGAAGTGTATAAGGTGAGAAGCCTAATTTACACAATGTTTACATTCACAAATGTCAATTAATACAGTAATTTAGTTAACATTTGTAACTGTGCCATTTAGGAAAGTCTTGAGCATCCATGGTGTGATCGCATCTATCTCACAGACATCATGGCCGACTTTGACTGTGATGTGTTTTTCCCAAAGTTTGACTGCAACATTTTCAGAAAACAAAAGGGGTAGGATTATTCTCAAATGTATTATTTGTGTTTTAATGATAATACTTTTTATGCATCTCATTTCAGTTGTAATTAACCATATAACATTGATTTGTCTTTGTATATTTTCTTTATATTAGCTTTCCTGGAGTACCAGATGAAATTCATGAAGAAAATGGTATTAAATTTCAATTTCAAGTCTTCAAGAAAGCTTAAACCCGAAGCCGAGGACTGGAACCAAGACTGTCAAACGTGGTGCTTGATTTGTTGATGTTGATGCTAGACGTTTACATAGTATAAAACAGTATTTTACAGCATTTTATTGGTTTTAATACAGTTATGTCAGCTTTATAGAATCTAGAGTGGTGCAGGTATGATGTCAGAACCCAGAAGTCTTATTCGCCACTGTTCCTTCTAGATTTTCTCATGGGGTTTTACAATGTTTTTATTTATTTTTATGTGTAAAATAATGCCTTTGCTAAACACAACTTGATGATACTTTGACGTTTTGTTCTACAACATAAACTGCACACACTCAATGCGGTTAAATAAAAAATGCAGTTATGTTCCGCTTTTAAAACATATACATTTTAAAGGGATAGTTCACCCAAAAAAAGAAAATTACTCACCCTCATGTTGTTCCAAACCATAGACTGTAAAAAAGATGGACGACGCCCCTTCGCTCTTTTCCATCGGAGAGAACTGAAGCTGCCAATGTCCCGATATGGCGCTGACATCTTGGGACTTGAGTCTGCGCACTTGCGTTTTCGGGACCAGACATGCGCAGTCCTGAGTACTTCACACAGAGAACCTGTCAATCACAGCTGTCAATCATGATGTCACAGCACCATTTTTATAGCATCAAATAACTAACTAAAAACAAACTTATTTTAAAAACAAACTCTTAAAATTACATCACCGTGATAGAAACTACAGTAAATGACAGAAACTATCTTTGGAAAAAGGATATGTGAAGTGTAATTAATTTGGTCTCACGTCCTGTTGAATAACATGGGAGGCGGGGTTTATGACCTACTGTATACTAGGACCGGTCACTGGGGGGCGATCGAGATGTTTTGGCTTTACTTTTGAGGGCTTGTGCGGCACGCTTGTTCCAGACCCGTAAGACTTTCGTTCATCTTCAGAACACAAATGTAGATCTTTATGATGAAATCTGAGATTTCTGTCCCTCGATAGAGGGAACTGAAACTTTACGCTTCGAAAAGTTCATAAAGAGATCATAAAACTAATCCCTATGAATTGAGCGGTTTAGTCCAAATTTTCTGAAGAGAAACAATACTTTAAATGATGAACAGATGTCATTCTGATGTCATACCTGCACCACTCTATTGTACAGAAGAACACTTTATCTCAAAGGCTCTGTTAGCTGCTAACTGGTCACCACCATCCAAATCATCACCTTTTCAAAGCAGCTAGTTCTTCATATTACCCCTATGAACATTTTCTGCTTTTTTTGCTCCGTTATTACATAAAAAAAATGACTCCACACATGATCTGAAACAGCAGATGGACTCAGACACTGCCAGTGATGAGAAGCACTTCCCTCACAATTACACATGCAACAGTTTATGACCACTCACCAGATCCACTGTTACTCATCTCACTGTCACCATGTCGACACAAGTGAATCAATGGATGGGACACAGTAGGAGTGTATATGGTTTGTGTATACATACCATCTGCTGTGTGAACTCGGTGCCTTACTGCAGGTCTCAGTTATTAAACTTTTGTGAAATTAATCTTTGGTGCTTTATTAAAGTTAATTTCTTAACCAAATGAAAATTTTAAGTGTGCAATAATTTAATGACCACAAATGATTGGATATTATTTTTGTATTATTATTTATTGGAATAATATCCAGAGTACATTGACAGAGAATGACTTTCCCCACTAGATGGAGCTGGCGGCCAGGAACAAAAACGTTTTTTTTTTTCAGTTGGGTTCAGGTCTGGAGATTTGGCATGACAGGATCTTGATCTGGTGGTCCTCTATCCATACCTTTATAGACTTGGCTGTGTGTGGCATGGACCAGCATTCATGTTGCCACTACTAATGCAACAATTCAAGCCAACCTGCTTGAATTGTTGAATTAGGAGTGGCAACATGAATGCTGGTAGGACTGTAAAAAAAAAAAAATGTGTGTACATATACATACATATACATATAGTTGGTTTACCTTTAAAAAGTAAGTTACCTGGTTGCCTTAAAATTTTGAGTTCATTGAAATATTTCTTTTTAGGTAATACTATGGAGATTGGTTTAATCGACAGAAACTCAAAATATTATGTTATCTGAACCACATGAATTATCTAAGTTCATTTGACAAAAGAAAAAAAGTTGTGATATCATGAAAATAATATTTTACAGTGTAGAGAAGCATCCCAAGACTCATGAAAGCTGTGATTGGAAATCAGGGTTAATTTGCCAAATATTGATTTCTGAACTTGTCCCAAGTTAAAAAATAGTATTGTGTTGTTTAAAATTAATATGAACTTGTTTTCATTGCATTGGAGGTCTGAAATCATGGTAGCCTTTTTGTTATTTTGACCATTTGTCATTTTCTGCAAAGAAATGCTCTAAATGACATTATTTGAAATTTGGAAGAAAAGTTGTCAGTAGTTTATAGAATTTATACTTTTTTTTTTACTCAAACACATACATATAGCTAAATAAATCTCTTTATGCATGCATGTATGTAAATGTGATCATTTGTGGACCCTACTGTATTTTATTATTATCATTTTAATTGCAAATTGACACCCTATATTGGGAGTAAACATTTTCTCACCCTAAATATACACTCTAAAAAATGATGGGTTGTTTCAACCCAAATTTGGGTCAAATATGGACAAACCCAAATGTTGGGTTAAAAATGCAATTAAAAAATGTACAGTTGAAAGTGAAAGTTGAAGTTGGGTTAAGGGTTTGTCCATATTTTACCCAAATTTGGGTTCAAACAACCCAGCACTGTTTAGAGTGTAGAGTGAATGGAGCTTAAATAAATCCAAAATGGCTACAATGTCATACCAATTTAGAATAACATAATGCATATTAACAAAACATTTTTTCTGAATTCATTTGTTTAAATTTTTATATCCACAATGTTCAGATTGACATCTGTAAAAATGATCTCATGATCACATAAAGCACATTTTACTGGACACCCCTCTGATTAGGAGATCTGAGAGCAGATTACACAGAGGACAGTGGCACGCTTCAGCATGACCTCAGCATGGAATATTTACCACCTTAATATTCCAGCATGCAAAGTCCATGGCAGGAAATTATAGACTTTAATTGCATGTCATCTATTTTCATAATTTCTCTGAGTTATGCCCCATAAAATCAAAGTGTAACATTTACTAATAATACCCACTGTCACATTTCAAATGAAAAAGAGCTATTTATACCCTCGCTTATTAACCTCGTATGTGTTCGGGTATAACTCAAAGTGTCATTTGCAGAATAAAGCAGCCATCCGGTCGGGCCATACACTAGGAGTGGACAGAGAATGGAGAATAAAAGAGAGAGGCAGAAAATCTGGAAATGTGGAAAACATCAGAACAGCGATAAATACGAATGAAACCTGGCCAAAAATGTCATGCATAAATGAATTTTAATATCAGCTCTAATCAAGCTCAAAAACTTATTTTGATTTCACAGTGGCTATGAGATGCTTATGAGAAATGTAATAGTTCACCATTAAAGAAATCATAAAGTCCACCGTGTAAACAGCAGATGCCGCAAGGCAATATGTAATGTAACTTCATTATAGATTCCAGTAAAGTCTTTAGTCGAATCATTAAAAAGCACAAAATTATCTCAAAATGCAGCCCAGAGGCCAAAATATTGGGAAATGCTTGAAACTGAGATTTGGCAGCATACGGGTAAACATTCATTGATCTGAATATTTATCTGCATAATGCATACCTCCGAGAGGTATTTTATATTGTTCATTATGAGAGACTCTGATGAGGAATTTCAAAAGCGACATCAATTTCTTGGCACAACATGTCTGTTTATGACAATACAACTAATGACCCAGTGCCACAATGGCAAAATGTACATTAACAATGTAGTAAAACAAAACAATGTTGGAAAGAATCACTTCCACAACATACACGGAACCTTCAATCATTTATCCTTTTCATATAAATAAATAAATAAATCTATTCATACAGAAAACAAAGGAAACCATGCACTGTTAATATTAGATTTAGCACTTACAATCTTAATCACGGTTGTAAGTTTCTGCCGTGAAATAAAACTTAAAAAGATTATTGTGACTTTTTATCTCCAAATATTTTCTCTAACATGCAATTCTGTAGAAGAAAGTCTGAGTTTCGAGATTGCAAGAAATAAAGTCAGATTTTTTTTGTGTTAAAAACTTGCACACACTTCTATGCAACTCCAAGTCACAATTTTGACTTGGAATTGCGGCAAATAAAGTCAGAAGAATTGTGTGTTAAAAACATGCAATTAGGACTTTCCAGATTTGCAAATTTTTAAACACAATTCTGACTTTATTCATCGTAATTCCGAGCAAAAAAAAAAATCTGAATTGAGAATGAGGGATATTAACATAATTGAGAAATAAACTCAGGATTGCAAGAAAAAGTCAGAATTGCATTAAAGGAGTAGTAAACTTTAAAAAAAAACTTGCTGAAAATTTACTCACCCCCATGTCATCCAAGATGCCCATGTCTTTCTTTCTTCAGTCGAAAAGAAATTAAGGTTTTTAATGAAAACATTCCAGGATTTTCTCCATGTAATGGACTTCAATGGGAACCAAATGGTTCAAGTTTCAAATGAGAGTTTCAGTGCAGCTTCAAAGGGCTTTAAATGACACCAGACGATGAATAAGGGTCTTATCTTTTTCTTTTCTATGTAGCTAAATGATCGGGCATAAAAAAAAAAAAAGAAAGTTTTATAAGCACAAATGCTCGCCTTGCTCTGTTCTGTGATGAGCGTTCGTGACTCTCCTGTTCGAACTCGTTCATCAAAATGAACAAATCTTTTTTCGAGTCATGACTCGAAGGGTCCTAGATAAGACCGTTATTCATCGTCTGGTGTCGTTTAAAGCCCTTTGAAGCTACAAAGAAACTCTCATTTGGACCTTGAACCGTTTGGTCCCCAATGAAGTCCATTATATGGAGAAAATCCTGGAATGTTCATCTTAATTCACCTTAATTTCTTTTCGACCGAAGAAAGAAAGACGTGGACATCTTGAATGACATGGGGGTGAGTAAATTATCAGCAAAAGTTTTTTTTTTTTAAAGGGAACTACTCCTTTAAAACCTGAGTGAAATGAGATCAGAATTTAGATAAAAAGTCACAATTACCTTTTTATGTTTTTTATTCTGTGGTGGAAACGGCTTCTGTATTTAATCTTTCGTTCGCGGTGGAGAACTGGATTGCAGTGGAGCTACTGGATTAAACAGTGGCCTCTCTCGCCTAAGACGCAGCTTCCCGTAGCTCATCTCGAAGTCCTTTTTGGTGCCGTTGAGGACATCCAGACTGCCAGTACGTACATCATAACCAAAAGAGCGCAGTTTCTGAATTCGATATTGAACTATCTGCGTTGTCAGTTCTAACACC